AAGTCACTCTCTTGCAGACATGAAAAGCCGGAACGGTTTGGACAGACGCGGATGATTATCTGCTGTGAAAAATGAAATGAATGTTCTACAATGCCTTACCATCAGGTCGAGGTGGTGGTGTTGAGGGACCATTGAGTGCTCACAATGGCTTTGTGCACGCCAGAAGCGCAGCGATCACGGATGAAAGTGCGCACTTTTGCAATGTCTCGTGTTTATCCTCTCAAGATAGTGGTAAGCGTTCACGATGTTTGGAACGTTGAATAGTGCTGTACAAGGTTGCATTCCAGTGGTGATTTATTTTCCCTGCTCACGATAATCTAGGTACCTGACGTTCCCAAGGTCGCTTCATCAGTTCAGCTCCAGCTGTCAACCATATAGTATACCGATACCCCAGACATGAGTGATAAGACGCCTGAATTCGGCACAATCATGAAGCATGCGTTGGCATACGAAGAAGCCGTCGAAAAAGGACAACGCCTCTTGGCTCTAACAATCGCGGATATCACCGACGGTCCACCTCAAAGTAAATTTCAGGACATCGATGACCTGGAAGTATGGGGTTGGTGTACTTTCACTCTTGCTAGCCCGAGTCCCACTCCTGCTACGAACCTAGTACGAGCCCTAGGCCCTACCCTCAAGTCTTCTCCCACTACAGCGGGTATCCTTACCAATCACGACGAGACCGTTACGGTCGACGGTAAGACCTATCCAGCCACCATGGCGCATTTTCACAGCGTGATAGAACCCGAGGCCGGTATTTTGTTGGCAGAATGCAACACGACCCCGGAAGCAATGCTGAACCCATATAGGAATCTGGATCCAGCGACGTTGGTAGCCAAACTCCCAGAGCTGCGACATTGGTCCGATGTTGCTTTCTTGCAATGGAAGAATGTATGTACTAACTTTAGGTCTCGGTACAACATGCCAGAACTAAGACTTGTAGTAAGATACCAGGTTCTCAATGCGAACACACGAGCCATCTGTAGCATCATTCTTGCCTCTCTTCGTAAAAAACGACAGGAAACAGCTGAGCCAGGAATCTCGTATGACTCCTGGCTTCCGAGATGGCCAGGTATAGCTTTCCCAATAGAGTCTGAAGAGGCGATAGCGTTATGCGGCACACCCAATGGAAGTGGCGTACTGCATTTGCTCGCTCAGCATAAGGCGAAACTGGGCCACAAGACTATTCAAGAAGTATGCTTGTATTATGAAGATGAAGATGATAAGGGGTTGCGAGAAGTTCCGACTCTGATATTCCATGTCCAGGATGTTTGAGTAAAGCTAGGTAGCGAGGCCGTATGGGGGTCAAGTAGAGATGGATTACATTAAGACCTTTGTAAAAGCATCGCCTAGTCCCCTCTCCGCAAGCCATTCCTCGATCGCCTTCATGTCACCTCTATTCGCTCTTTGGCCGCGTCGCTCACCGACTGTGTCGGTAATTTCAGTCATGTCTGGGAAGACTCGCTTTTCACATTGCTCGCGATGTCGCTCGCTGACTTTCTTGTGATGGGCCGGGATGTCGCCCCAGCTTTCCGTTTTGATGTACTTCATGTAATCATCGATATTTTGTGATCCGCCCTCGACGCACAGAAGACCTGGCTTGCCAGCGTAAAGAAAGCCGGTCAATTGGTAAGAAGGAGCAAACTTGATGAAGTCGTCGCGTTTGGAGCGTGTGCTGATCGATGGAAAATAGAACCAAACTCTTACCAGCGGTCCAGCGTCCACAGCAGTGAGATCCGGGCCCAGTTCCGTCGTCTCAATTTCCGTTAGGTATTCGACTGCAGCTTCTCTGATGTACTCGATTTTACTGAGCAGGTCTTCATCTTCTGGTATGTCCGACGTCAACCGCGACGTGGCGGCTTTGTTCATCCATTGCGGTTGCTGCACCCGAACCTTTACGGTCGGTGGGTCTAAAGGCGGCTTATCACCGCGAAACGCGAACGGTACCCCAATATCCAGACGCAATGTCCTTGAATTCGGCGACTCTTCGTTGGGCGTAGATACTGGCAGGTCAAGGATGACTGGGATGACCGGCGTATATTTGGCTGCAGATCTAGACCGAGCATCATCGGTATCGCGCAGGATATCTAGTATTCCCTGAGAGTTCTCGTCGAGTGTGATCTCGTCAGGGTACATTGCCAGCAAAAGCTCAACTTGGCCAATCTGAAGCTCTATCAGATCGGCTGGTAAGATCTGCCATTGTTGCATGTCTGTCATCATTGAACGATAGATAATGATAGAATTTCTGAAGGTCGGAAGTAGTCGGAGGGGGCTGCGAGATAGAGTGAAGTTTGATTCAGGTTTGACAGGTAAGAAGACGCGCACTAGCGGAAGAGCGAGGTCGGCGCCAATTTTCGGCTACCAGCCACGCGGTGAGCCACAACCGCCACCCGCATCGGGATTGTCGAAAGAGAAATCAGCATCAAGCATTGCACGATGATAGTTCAATCCAGATTTTATTTTTGTTTTCAACATCAAAGCCTGACCCCTATGCAGGTGGAGATGCCTGAGCTTGTTAGCCTTAATTTCGTCCCGTGCTCTTTTCCCTCCACGTACCTGCCACATGTCGATTATCACACTCGACGTTCCGTTCCTTCTGAGGACGCCTACAGCAGCCACATCGTTCAACCACGCAGCAGTTCCGTTTGTGTCGGTTTCGAATTGTCCTCGCAACATCGTGGGGGCACCATCCGCAGCGGGTGGGAGTCCTATCGTCTGGACGTATATGAAGGTTCCGTCATCGGTCTGGATATTGTATCGGGCGTCTGGTCGGAAAGCGCCTTGCGCGTCTGTAAGGCGCCAGTCCGCGCCGAGATTGAGAACTTTGCCTTACAAGATGTGAGTGACATGACGTCATGATACATAAGAGCACGAGGCACGAGCTGTCGAAGAGATATCCCAGCCTTTTCTCATGATCTTTGAAACACGATGACATGTTTAGGCCAAGAGGACTACTCACCACTTATTCTTGGGCCCTTGAAAGTGCCTCCAACGATAGGGATGACGATGCGTTCTTGCCCGGTTGGAATAGAACCGAGCGAGAATCTTTCTCCCAGGAGCGCTTCCATGTGGTAAATTAGGGTCATCTGAGGTGGTTCTGGTGCGCTTTGTGCCATTGTGAAGGTAGTAACAGCAGCAAGTGCAGTGATTGGGGTGAAGAGTCGCATGGTGAAAGCAGCGGTAACGTTGCTAGATACTAGTTGGAAACTCTAAACGCAACGACATCATAGTCGCATAGCCAGAATATATACATGTGCTACGTGCGGTGACAAGCTTCCATGCCGTTGCCAGGTACCGAAGATGACGTACAGCTTTAGGTTCCGCGTTCCTGCAGCAACCCCGCAATCGGCAATTCCTTTAGATCTACCCCAAATCAAGATGCCGGCTCGTTTTCCACCACATCCCATGGGGAAAATTGGTCCCTCGTCGCATCGCATTCACTCACTTCGTCATTAACTACCGTTACCGACGGGAAATACGTTGTCGCGCGCGAAGATGTCATAACACAAGAGCGGTCTGCTATTCTCTCGTACTAGCCCGTGCCCAAGTGTGCCATCCCTCTGCACCTGCCGATCAGCAATGCAATCGATACGTGGCCCACTGCATCACGAAGACACGCCGACACCCGTATGAACGATAGAACGAGCATCAGGAAGGTCAATACCATGGCGCAATCGTTCGGCGCCCGACGTCTTCAGCTCTGTTGCGCAATCGCAAATCTACCGGCAGCCCTACCCGGTCGAGGCGGCTGGACACCACTGATCTTCGAAAGAATGCGCCGAGTTCCCAAGGTACGCTGCCATGCTTCACCTCAGTCTCTCCATAGCTTGAGAAGCAGCTTGCCCGCTGGTTGGTTAGCATAGCTGTAATGCACCTATCCAAAGAGGCGAGCACAAAATCTATGGGAAAAGATGAATACCTACCTAGGTGCCTCCCAACCTAGAAGTACACGTTGCCTTGGAAGCTCGTTGACTTTATCGCAATCCAGTATTTCAGTTTGTACCTTGAATGAGGCGCGAGGCACATTCCCTCTCTACCCATGATGCCCCAGCTCCATGGCATCGAAATTCACGCTTGCGGGCCATGAGCTGCTAACACGACACTCCAGGCTATATATGGTCGAAGCGGCACAAGTATGAGCATGCCTCATGGTTGCGAAATGATTGGACAGGCTCGCGCGCGAAAGCCAGAAGGTCCCATGATCACGAACAGGGCCCACCTTCAAGACGACTACCACCCACCTGTGTTATCTTTGTGGAGAATTTTCTTCACGACACGGCCTTCAATCGTGGCTCGAACGTCCAGCCAAGGCATCGTGGCCCACAAGCTGGACGGTGATCATTGCCCAGGCGTCAATGGGCTCAAATTCCAAACCGTGGCGACGCCCCTCAACATCACCCTAGGGTTGTTACGAAGCACAATCTTGTCTAAGAAAAAGACGAGCTATCGGGTTCTTCTCTCCATTGTCTCCCTGTGCAAGAAGGTAAGACGTCTCAAGCAAGTGACGCAACCCATAATTTTCCCCGGCCGAATTTCCTTCACGATGTGGATATACCGCCGCGCCGGCCCGACCAGATCTCGTAGAATGCTTAGACCATAGCATTTCGAATACAATGGCTAGCGAATGTGACTTCCCCTTTGAAAGCAGCAAAATCGATTAAGGTCGTACTGTTCGAAGAAAAACCCGACTTCTTCGTTGCTCATGACTGACTGGCTGCATCGCTATCTCAGTCTTGCCAGCGAGCTTTCTCTCACCAACCAGACAGCATGCGTTAAGCAGACTGGTGTTTGTATCCATGCGTAGCAGCGGTGAAGCTGCTATCGCTAGCCACGGTATTGCTTCGGAGAGGGTATGGTTGAGTACTATTTTATTTCGTTGTGGAGTAGGCCAACTCATGTGCGATATGAATAGGTATAAAAGCTACACGTTATGAATCATTTTACGATCATCTCTCCCGTCACCTTACAATACATTCCACAAGTACGCAGCAAAAGCAGCAATGAAGCTCTCTTCTTTTATCACACCTGTCTGCCTCTTGGGCGTAGCAGCATCAGTCGAGATGACTCAGTACTCCACAGGATCTGGGGTCGAAGTCGGTTTTGAGTCCTTCGTCAAAGAGTACGATATCCCATGATTCTTCCGCAAACGGCAAGAACGACTAGAGCACTAACCCAAACTTGTAGGCTCTACGCCTCCGCGGAGGACCCGTCCGCTACAAGCACTTTTACCGATTTCTTCACACCCAACGGGCAGCTCATCGTTCTTGAGAACACCGCTACTGGCTCCGAAGAGATTGTCGCGCTGAAGGAGGAGCTTCTCCCCGTAGCCGGCAACAAGCTTTGGAACCATCTTCCTAACGTGACCACCGTTGATTCAGAAACAACCGCCGAGAAGACATACCAGGTGCTTGGTGTTATCGAAACGAGATACGACGGTGGAAACTGCTCTCAGGCCTAGTACGTTCCAAAATCACAACTCCGTGAGCATTGTACTAGTCTGATGGAGTATACTAACGATGCAACTCCCGCAGCTACTCGACCCGCTTTACCGTTACCAAGGACGCCAGCGGATTACCCCAGCTCACACCCCACAGTGGAAGCCTCGTCGCGTACGACGATTTCATCGTGAGCCCATCAAACACGCCGACCGATATAGCTTGTGGAGCTTAGTGCGAGCGCTGGGGGCACGGCCCAATGACTAAGATCTTTTCGCGATTTCGAATTGTACGCAAAAGGCATGAACATATTGCTAGCGAAAGTAGAGCACATCACATATTTAGTCTCATGTTGTAAAATCACATTGATACTGTCTGCATTCAAGTAGTTAAGGCGACTCTAGCGCCATTTTCGTATCAAGCTCGACTGAGATGATGAATGCCTACCCAGCGTGGTAATATCGACTGTACGCGTGTCAAGCTCACACTGGCTAGATTTATCACTAGATCGCTGTACATGTAGACGTTGATGACAACCCGTCAACGCACAGCTGCCATTCCAACTCTCACAATGATTGGTATTCATCATAAATATCATTCCATATTTACTGATCTATTCTTTCCCACCAGTAGCCCAAGCACCAAAAGTAAAGCAAGTCTCACAGACCATCCATGTCCTCCACAGACATGGTCAAGACGTCCTTGCGCGACAAATATGTCGTACTCGAAGAGGCTCCGCAGGGCTTCCACGGTGGCAAACAGAACGTCGGTGTCTACGTTGTTAAGTATCGCCCTTTGAATAAAACATGCGTCGAAAAGCGCGTGACTGCGTACCAAAACGGTGTCCATTCGATCCACAGCGAGATTGCCACCATGGAACAGTGCCGGACTCATCCTAACATTGCATCAATCATGGACAGCGACACAGCAGATCTCGATCACACGTATGGTTCAATCTGGATGCAGCACTGCGAGCTTGGTTCTTTGGATGCGCTAATTATGCGGTACAAAGAACGCGAGATGCATCTCCCAGACGAAGGTTTTTTTTGGAAAGTTTTCTGGGATATCTCACAGGCTCTCTGCTATCTTTGGACGGGTCAGGATTACAAAAAGACACGCGATTACGCTATGCAGGGCCGACCAGTAGAGGGCCGCGTGCGTGGTTGGAACGCCATTCGTCATCGCGATCTAAAGCCAGCCAACATTTTGATGACATGGTCTAGCTCTCTAGCTGGCGACACGATGAATGGGTACCCGACTATAGTACTCTGCGACTTTGGCTGCAGTGTAAAGTCTACGGATATTAGTTTGAAAAACCAAGCTGCAAAGCTACTCGATTGGGTCAACGTCGCTTTCGAGCCTCCGGAGTCTACCTACAGCGAAAGAGGAGACATATATGCGCTCGGTCTGATTTTGCTGTGCCTGGGACAAATGCGACAGCGTCCTAACATGGATGTTCTCGATCCAGAGTGCGATCCATTAGGATACTCTAATTACTTCCAGTTGGAACTGGGGTCGCTAGTTGGAGAATGCTTGGAGCCTGATCCAAGTGACCGACCGGCACAAGAAATTTTACCCGTGGTGGTTTGGGAAGGCTACCAGGAGTGGCGCTCATACAATGGTGGCGACGGTAAACCACTACCAAAATGGGCGTTTGAGTAGATTCACGTATGTGATAGAGGCTCTCGGCATTTGGGTTGAATATGTAGGATTGTGAACAGAAGTGAATATGTACAAATTTATGAAGTCAACAATAGCGAACATGGAGTGCTCGGCGAAGTGGAGTTAATGGCCAGCAAGTTTCGTAATCGGTGGTGTGTTCGGGTAGAAGCTTGCCGGCATCGTAGGAATAGGAATGGGACTGGCTGTACCAAACGCAGTCTGGAGGTTCTCTTTCATGGTAGGTGCAGAGTAACCAGTGGGTGCAGCATTTTGAGTGCTGGTAGTGGCTGGATAAGCGCCCCCACTTCCCTTCTTCAAGCAAAATCCGCTACCGTAACCATTCTGGCATTGATAGATGTTGTTGCTGCCTTTCTCAGTCCACATGGCCAAATCTTCGATGGTAATGTCTGTGCAAGGCGCCTTTTCTGCGCAGACGACTTTGACAGGCCCGCGGTTCAGGCCGTATTCGACTGTTCCCTTCCAATTTCTAAATGTCATGTTGCTCAACTGCACGCCATTGCCAGCAATAGCGCTCATCGAAGCCCACTTTTGATCGATGTCTAGAGACCAGGCGTTGCCGTGACCGATGAAATTCTCGAAAACAACATCTTCGACGTAGCCGCTGCCACCATTAGACTTTACCATCATCATCTGGTTAGATTTCCAAGTGTAGATGTTCTTGTATACAACGGAAGAGATGGCAGTATCAGCGCCAAGAGAGCCCATGGCGCAGCCACCGCTCCAGTTGCAGTAGATATTCTCGATCAGGACATTCTTGGAAGGCGACTTTACGGTTACGCACTCGTCTTTGTTAGTCACCATGATATCGTGTACCCAGCAGTTGGTACAGGTGACGTCGACACCGTCGAGACCACCCCAGTCGCCTCCGCGGATCGCCATGTTGTAGGCTTCGCCGTTCGTGCAGTTGTTGATTACGAAGTGGAACATGGGCGCGTCGACAAGAATTATGTCGTGGATCCCAAAGTTGGTCGATTTCTCAATGCGAAGAAGACGCGCGCCATTTCGCTTGCCGTTCTTGTGGTCTTGGTAACCATTGCCTGTAATTGTGATCAGCACTGTGACGGAACATGACCGATCTCGAATAGCATCCTTGCGTACCCTGAATAGCACCCTTGCCAGTGCTGCTGAACATCTCGAAATCGTTGGCATTCCTGATGAACATCATATTTCCAGCATCGGTACCCGTACGGTAGATGGTGCCGTCAAGCTGCAGCGCCCACGCCTTGCCACCCTCAAACGTGACCCAGGTGTTCAAGGCATAGTCTCCGGAAGGAACAACGACAGTACCACCTGCCTTGCAAGCAGTGAATGCCTTGAGAAGGGCTGGTCCAAGATCTGTGGACTTATCGGCTTTCGCGCCATAATCCATAACGTTGCAGCTCTTCTTGGCCGTTTTGGCCGCGTGAGTGGTTAAAGGCCCGACCTTGCCCGACAGCTGTGCGAGTGCCGGTGCAATAGCAGCCGCTGCAAGCAGGAATTGCGAAAAATGCATCGTGAATGAAAGACCTGCTCAACAGGAACGAATGACTGGAGTGAAAACGAGCGACAACGAAAACAAGACTGAAGAGTGAGAGAATCGAAGCCTGAGAGTAGAGTGGGATATACGTGGATGGTGAGGCTAGACACGAAGGCCATCTGCAAATCCTAGCACAGATCGATGCCAATCTCATGTCCCTGGTGGGCCCGCAGAAATGATAGCGCCCCTATGTTGCACCCCCGGAAAATCCAAAGGCTGCGACGAGAAGCACCACGCTGCCGTTATGTTTACTGATCTAGCAGACCGTGTTCGCCATGGGAGTACGTTCATCCCCCGTGGAAGACAGATAAATTGTCCGAAATTTCCAGAAGCATGCTAGAGCGCGCGTCAGCTCATCTATCGCGAACAAGCCTGAAGCAAGCGAGCCGACGACCGTCATGTCGGTAATGCTTGTCGTAATGCTTAGTATAAACGTGTTTCAACGTGTACGCCTCGAACTTCGGTGGCGCACGCCTTGAGGCCGCTTTGCCAGATTGATTGATGGATTACTATCTGTTGGGTGTTCGTGGAGATGAACAGGCGCGAGCCGAAGCCGATGTCGTGAGCTAGGAAGGGATTCGTGGAAACACGGGTTCACAACTTATGAAGGACCAACGTGCATTGAGACCATTTGATGAGTTCCTTCCGTAGCAAAATGTCCCGAGAAAAAAACGTATCGCAAGCAGCAAAATATATGTTGACACTGCTGAGTAGATTCATCCTTAGGGAGAGATGGTGGCTGGGAATGGAGCTGTCCATGTGGGTTCGCCTCAGCGGGTGACGCGTTGATATCGGAACTCTCGGAAACGATCGGAACGAGACGAGTCGCATCTCGCCCAACTCACGACGAGTTCATTTATCGTATCTTTGATACGTGTACTACGCCGCACAGCACATCCGCGAGAGCAAGACAGGGCAATCAGGGCCAAGATCTATCGCCATGATGCACAACGAACCATTCGTCAAGATTTAGGTACATGTAACTGTATTCCATACAAAATATCTACTAGTACAACGCCATGTCGCACGAGGCATGTGCCGCAAAACATACAGATAAGAAGCTAAAAGAGCAAGTTTGTCCGAATGAACCTAACAACTATACCTCCCTGACCGTTTATATCAACGCCTTGCATACCTAACGCAACATAAATATGAAAATGTCCAAACTCCTCAATGTTCTCTTCTTTTGCCCATCAAAGTCCCCATAAAGCATTCAATGTCCCCTTTTTCAAAAACACCAAACACCGATCTCCTCAATGAACTCAGACCCTTACAGATAACCCATCCAGAGCGGATCGCACTGACTCAACTTGGCCGGATGCACCGCAACAGCCACCAAGTCCACTACTGTCTGGTTCGCAGGTAGATTGGCGCCCGTGGGTAGGCTACCAATCGCGCTGGCCCTCTTGACTACCAGATCGCTATTACTTTGCACACTCTCCCTGAGCACCTCGGGAGTAAGCTGGCTGGCCTTGTGCTGCGAGGTGAACCAGTGGTTCATCTCATCGCGCATGAAGATGCTGAGTTGCATCTCTAGCTCGCCCTCGGGTTCAATCAAACAGCGCGCGACTGTCATGACACTAGGAGCGAAGATGCCTTCGAGATTCAACGGCCCCATGAGAGTTTGTAGGTTGGGTGTGAGGCGGAAAGGTACTGGTTCCGAGTTGTGCAAGATGGGCTTACCAACTGCCATGCTCGGGATCAGTTCGGAACCCCAAATGCGGCCGCTAGAGCGCGAGACGCTGATCTTCTGGGGGAAGCGCGTATTCATATGCATGACATAGGTCATGAACGTGAGCGCAGCGAGTTGGTAGCTGAAGGTAC